GGTAGATACAGAGAAGCTATTTCCTCTGGTGGGGGAATCCAATACAAGGGGCATAGTCTTAAAATTAGAACCAGGCCATTTAAAAGTGAAATCAGGAAACATTTTTTCACTCAAAGGGTGGTAGAAATCTGGAATTCTCTCCCCCAAAAGCCAATGGATACTGGATCCATTCACACTTTTAAGAGTGAGGTTGATAGATTTTTAGTAGGTCAGGGTATTAAGCAATATGGTGATAAAGCGGGAAATTGGAATTGAAGGTTTAGTTGAGGTACAGATCAGCCATGATCTAATTAAATGGTGGAACAGGCTCAAAGGGCTGAATGGCCTCCTCGTGTTTCTATATTCCTAATACAATACATAGTGTGGTTAATTATTGCAGTATAACAGTTTCAGCACTTCAACTAAATCTCCAAAGAGCAGATATCAATTTAGCAAACAAAAATAGAAGTCGCTGGGAACACTCAGCAGATCAGGAAAAAGGAAAATGAGTCAATGTTTCGGGTCCACGACCCTTTGACAGAACTGGGGCACGTTGGGAGGGAGAGGCTTTTAAGGACTAACAGGGTAAGGAAGACAAAGGAGAAAATGGAGTAGAGGACAGAAGGGTAGAGGGGAAAAGAGGTGTTAATAATGCAAAACGGTGGGGGGGGTGGGGGAGTATTGCAACAAAACAGGCAGACCAGAGAGAGAAATGGTGTGTCTGGGACCCAGACGATGTGGTAATGGTCACAGAAGAGGGGGAGGGGGAAGGTGAGTTGTTATGGTCTGAAATTATTGAAATCAATATTGAGGCCAGAGGGCTGTAAGGTCCCTAGCAGATAAATGAGGTGCTGTTCCTCGAGCTTGCGCTGTGGTTCACTGGAACATGTAGGAGACCATGGATGGAGAGGTCAGAGTGCAAGTGAGCAGGAGAGTTAAAGTGGCAAGAAACTGGAAGATCAGGGTTATGCTTGCTCCCCAATGTAGAGGAGACCATATTGTGAGCAATGTACAGTCACTATACTCTACAGCAAAACCTGTGATGCACGTTGAAAATGTCCTCCAGCATCTGCAGTATTTTGTGTTTTATTAATATAGCAATTTGGGCTCACCAAAGCAGCATATCCAATTCAATAGCACACAGTTATTCAGAATCTAAGAGATACTTCAAAAACCTCCTGTTGTAAGCACCATATGATCATTGTGTTAGTTAGAGGATTACGCTCATAACATTTTTTTGAAATTGTAAATTCAGGTTAATTTCAAAAGAAATGTTCTGCCCTTTCAGTTAGAAGCAAAGATTAATATAAATTAATCACTGTCACCTTGATAAATAAAATACAATGGCTTTATCAGAAGGGACTGTAAACTCATCTTATTGATCTACGTTTAGCACAATTTGACGATGTATGCAGAGAAAACAGGAAATTGGCATTACAATAATTAACTTCAGTAGAGGAGCTAGACCAGCGTAGGCTTAATAGGCTTCTCTTAAATTGTAATATCAATAATTAGGTGGGTTTATATTGGGATACAAGCAACCTTGCCAAATTACACTAAAGTTATTAGCATACAAAGCATCATCTCCACAAAGGTAATCTACAGTGATAAAAACACCCAAACATTCTGCAGCTTCATTCCAATCAATTACAATTTTGCTTGTCTACAAGGAGCAAATTCTCAAACAGAAGTTGGACATTGCTCAGGTGCTTAACATTGCTTATGGGATTTCTACAAATAAACCAGACTAGCTCTATCCTTTTTATCATAGATTTGATGAAGGTGTTTCCTCACCAAAGCAAGCTGGATGCTGGTCTTAGCCTAAGATTTACTCTTTTACTTGAAGTACTCCCTTTCTTCAGTTGAATGGATTTGCACATGAAGATTTGTGATGGACACTTTGAAACTCAAATTAAAGTCCAAGTGTCACTGGGAATTACTCAAGCGGTTAGATCTAGAAACTTGCCCAAGATTCAGAGACGGGATTGTCCTGGAATGCTATTGCTGAGGTCAGATGGCACTTCAAAGCAGCACATGTTTAGATCTGTATCAGGGATATTATATTGTCTATAACTGGTGCAAAATTGTATACCACTGCATACATTCACAATATATGGTATATACAATTGTTACTGATGATGAGGGGACAGAGTAGGCTAAATCATGGCACAGGCAAACATATATAGGGAGTACTACGAAGGTCCAATATTTGACAGAACCAATACAGCTGAATGAATGAGGAAGTTTGTTTGATGCCAGCCTCCACATTTAAAGAGATTATGTTGGAACAGAAATTATGTCTTGGTACTGCATAATATTAAACAAAGAGATTTAATCTTGGAAGTCCCAGGGAAAAAAGGCTTTGGAGGTGATGGGAAGTTCTTTTTATTATTTCATATACGTTTTCACATTGTGTCGTTTAGCTAGTTTTTATTTTGAACAGATCTCCTACTGAGTATTTGCAGACAGAAGACATCCTTTGAGAGCTGAATCCAATGGCCAGTACATTTAATATTGGTGTCAATATTCCCATTTTTGTGGATTTGATGCTGTTTGTGTGCAGGTGAAATACCTGGGCAAAGGACAGAAACCCAGATCACCTCTATTACACAAGTACTTTGCTGAATAGATAAAATTCTTTGTTCACAACCTCCACTAAACATAGCACTCCCATCCTTTTGCTTTAAAAATCCCCTATGCTATAATGCTTGTAGTTGCTCCCAGGCCTCTACAAAAGTTGCTCTATTGAGTTATTTAAGAGCAGCATGTGGTGCCTGGCTCTTTGATTCCTTCATGCTCTCTGTGCAGAAGAATATAGGCTCTGCTGAGTAATCATGGGAGTGAATCTGTGGTCTCTGCGCCTCAAGCATAAGGTTTTCAATTGTGTTTTCACTTGCACAAGAATCATAGTGTTAACCTCCCAATGCAGAATCAACTTCTGAACATTGTTAGACTGAACTGGTCTCTCAAAGTGTTCTGAGCACTTGGCTGCTAGAGGCATTTTGTGCTGTCCGTACTGGTGCTTGAGAGAATGCTTGCAAAAGGTCAGGGAGTTTAACCTTTCCTACTCAATGATGCGTTTCACCACTGTGATAGTGTCTAACTACAAGGACATTTCAATACTTCTTTAAGTTTATTCAGCTTTTGATTTCATCAGCACAAGTTGGCATGGCTTTCCTTGAACTGGGTTCCATGACAAAAATGTCTCTGGTGAGCTGGTCCTTGATATCTTGCATTCAACTCTTATAACCTGGTAATGAGGAATTGTGGAACACAGATGTTATTCCCGAAGCTGCCTGTATTCCCTGAGGAACTGGATATGGTTTTATTCTCTAATTCAAATGACCTGCCCACTGCTGATATCAAATGCAAACATCATCAGTGGCAGGATCCAGTATCTCTGTCCTTATGGACCTCAGTGACAGAGGGATGGCTAATTGAACAGTTCCTTCAGGCTAATATCTCGGGTTTAATAATTGGTTCATCACCAGATATGCAAGATTTCACTGGGCAAATATCCAAAATAAGTGATAATCCATAGCCACTGTATGTAGCTGACACGTTCCGCTACTATCAGCCTGCTAAGAAACCTTGAGTTCAGGTCAATCTCTTCTTGAAGAGATTATGATTTGTTTTCATTTGTTTAACTAATACTTCATTTCACTCCAATACAATATTACATTTGAAAAGCACCTTTAACATCAGGAGGATGTGCCAAGGCGCTAAACAGTCACGGTCATTAGGATCCGAGTGGGGGGCTTGGAATCAGGGAGGGTGGAGGGCAGAGAGGATGGTCGAAGGCACAGTCAAAGAGAAGGGTCTTGAAGGAGGCAAGGGAGGGAGTGAGGCGAAGGGAATGTGGGATGGAGGTCCAGAGGGTGGGGGCAGAGAGGCTGAAGGCCCGACCTCCCATAGTGGGGCGGGCCAGGCAGGGGACATGGAGTAGGCCGGAGCCTGCTGAGCAGAGGAGAGGACAGGGTTATGGGGTTGATATGGTCAGCATGTCGGGAGAGGTAGGAGGGGGAAAGGCTATGGAAGGCTGTCAACGTAAGGACGAGGATTTTGAACTCAATCCTCTGAGGGATGGGGAGCCAGTGGAGCCGGGCGAGGGTGGGAGCCTGGTGCGGGAGAGGACACGAGTTGCAGAGTTTTGGATGATCTGCAACTTGTGGAGGAAAGAGTTGGGAAGGGTGACAAGCAGGGAGTTGGCATTTTGAAGCCTAGATGTAATGAAAGCAAGTATGACGGTTTCAGAGGCCTGAGAGGTGAGGCAGTGACAGAGTTGGGCAATATTGCGGAGGTGGGGGAAGGCAGAGCGGGTCATGACACAGTTGTGGGGCAGAAAGGACAGTCGAGAGTCGAACAAGATGCATAGGTTCCTGACTGGCTTGGTGAGATGGAGTGTGCATCCGTGGATGTTGATGCTGACAGTGCCTGAGGTGCAGAGGTGCGAGCCAATCAGGAGAGCCTCGGTCTTACAACAGTCAATACAATGCATTTAGGTTTACAAAGCACTCTATCTGGGTCAGAACTGCATAACCGCCATCAAATAAATATCAGATAAACATTTTTCTCCCTGAAAATCACTGTATGGCAGGAGGTCATAAGATTCCAGGTCTTATTTCTTGGGAGAAAATGCTGTTTATGTTAGAGATGTTTTTGCTAGTGGGCATTCACTGATGACACAGGAAGGGTACTTCTTAGACCTTACAATTAGAATTAACACAAAGTTGGAAGACCATAGAATGACTTGTTTTTTCCTTCGCAGAACTATGTAGAATTATACAGCATGAACAGAGGGCAATAGGCTCAACTCGTCTGTGCTGGTATTTATACTCCATGAGATTCCACTCTTGTTCTCTCCTATATCCCTCTATTCCCTTCTCCCTTATATAAGTATTAAGTTTCCTCTTAAGCAATGCTTTATGCTTGTATCATAGCTTTTGGCAGTAGGTTCCACATTCTTATCTTCCTCTGCTTAGAGAAGTTCCTTCTAAACTTTTGCTCATTTTTTCTTGCAGGAATGTGTGCAACAAGAAAAGGGCTTGTGATCACATAGGTACGTGTCCACAAAAAGGGTTAAAGAATAAGGCTGCATTTTTAGCCTACCCTATGCCCTTCCTGGAATCAATGGCATGCACAATATTGTACCCAATCAAAGGGATTGGCAGTTAAAAAATCATCTTTTTGCAATTGATGGACATGTTGAAGTCAGTCTTGGTAAGAATCAAATATGTTTCCAATAAACATTCAATTTGAACTTGAATACATGCTTTTTCAAAATTTGAGAGGAAGACCTTAAACCTCATTTGTCTAATGACCAGCTAGTGATATTCGTGGTGGGAGTGGGGAGATAAGTGCGGTTTTCTTGGGGCTGAGTTGACTCCGAGTTGACATTCCTACCAATTGAAAATCAATCCTTTGAATTGTCGATCTATGTGATGATAGTTGTCCACTTCCTGAGCAAGGTAGGTCTTCAGTACTCTAGGTCACTGTTGATGACAGACCAGCCAATGTAGCTGTTGAGAGGGCCTGGAGGCAGGGATTCTTCCCCCTTTGGCTCCTTTAACCCCATCCGATTAGCCTAGAGGATGGGGTTCTAACTGTACAAGCAGGAGGAAGCTTGCCAGATAGTGCTCTCATGTCAAGCTATTTTAAGTTCAAGCTATGTTATTTTAGCTGGTTAAACTCCAACCCTAACCCCAACACACACTCTGGGGTTCCTAAGCCTAGAAATATAAGTGGGATGTAGTCCCTCTGATAGAATGCCCACTCCAGTCCAGAGAAAGAGAAATTTCAAAACATAAGGTGGCATACATATGTGGAATGCCTGGTTTGATTTGGATACTTTTAAGCAAGGCATAGATCAGACACCCGGCTGACCAAAAATCCCCAAAACATTAGTCCAAAGACCTGCTAAATAAAAATGTTTTCTCTGACTTGTAATAAAAGGTGGAAGAGGGCCAAAATTTGATGACGGACACATTGGGGCACCCTGTACAAGATGCAAGAATAGTGCTTACTACATCGAAAGCTTTGTACAACATTTAATGAATGCTAACAGAGTCAGAAAAACAAAATGCCTGAAACCGCAGGTGAAGACAATTTCTGCTCAGATAAGATCTACGTAAAGTTGGGCAGTGGTTGGATAAGAGGTTAGATTTCACATTTAAAACATTTTTTGGGAGTGCTTGCTTGGAACTGAGGAATTCTAAATGTGGACAGAGAGAACATGATAATCAATGAAAACTGAAGCTAAGGCAAGATCTAGGTAAGTAAAAAATTAACCATGTAAATGATTATTTCAGAAGTAACCAACCTTTTTCAAGTGATGATCAATTTATTCTGACTCAAGGTGTGTTTAATAAATTAAACTATAGTTTTACTTGACACTACCTTTTATTCATAACCTTGCTGGAGTTTTATTTAAACCATTCACATTTTGTAGCTATCAGGGGTTAAATAATATGCTAAGATCTGATAAATCTTTATGTTAGCATGACTCTGACTTGCTGTGAATATTCAGCTGTTCTCAATATGATACTGATCAAATCTTAATTTTCTAAGCCAGCGTGAGATGGTTTCAATCCAGGACATGACTTTGGATCATTAAATAAGAACCAGATTCAGAATCTGGAGAGTAATGCTTTTAAACGGAAAACCTCACAAACACCAAACGTGGATAAATAATTCAAACACATTAGCAAATAATGCTGCAAAAGCAAAATTGCAGGATTAATATGTCAAATTTACACAGCGGCTCATGAAATGTATATTTACAATCTGTCACAGTTAGATTAACTAAAAATCATCTGCAAATATCATACTGTCAACTGCTTCTGATACTCAAAACCATTTATAAAAGTATTCCATTACAATGAAGATTTTTAAAATCTTAATGTAGTCATGATTTTCCAGACATGTTTCAAACAAAGCTGGTCTGTACAAGCCTAAAGAACAGTTACAATGTTGAAGATTGTGTCCTATCAAACTAACATTCCGTACATACGATCTTGTCTAGAAAACACCTGGATATCAAACTTTTACAAGTCCAAGCTCATATAATAATAATAATAATACTCCTTACATTTGGTATAAAGCCTTTCACTTTTCTTTAAGCTTTTCTCCTTAGACCGTAACAGTATGACTATTTTGTTGCATTAACATTTTTTGTCCATTCTTAACCACTGGAGCACATGACTCCACTGTATTACATTAAGGTGTATCAATGTGCTATTCCAATATCAATACACTGGTTCTTATACAAGGTAAAGACAGTCCTTAGAAAGCTAATGGTCAAAGGAGTGGAGCAACTTCAGGAGAATCTACAAGCTGGGAAGAATATGGGACACGGGTTTATTTATGTTCACGATTTCCTAGTGAGCTGAATTCCCGATCTTAGCCTTGCTATTGCGATGAAACATTGAACAACGGCCAGACATTTTCCCAGATGGAGAAAAGGAAAATCACAGGATTGGCCCCACCTCCTGGCAGACGCTTAACAAGTTGCATTGGTGGAGGTCTGAGTGCAGGTCAGCTACCTGCGCTATCAAAGTGGAATGGTGCAGACCATGGGAAAAAACAACAAAGTAGTGGGGAAGAAATGTACGGGAAAAAACACAGAAATACAAAAAGGGAGTTTTTCTATATTTAAAAACATGAAAATATATTCTTGTCATAAAGTGCCAATATGTATAAAGTGCTAACAGCACTCTCATTCTGATGAGATGTACAGTATGTGCAAAAAAACACAAAATGAAACATATCACTTAGAAAACTAAATTTATATCAGCAGTTGTAACAATATAACTGTTCATATAATAACCTCAGATATTTTGGTCATATTGCCAAATTAGGGGGATTATGTGCACCTGATCAGAATCAGGAAAAAATATTTAAATGTTTTTGATAATAATAGATGGTACAAATTGTATGATTCAGATTTTTACATTACTTGCCTGCGCGTTCGAATTTAAGGTAAGAAGATATTACTCTAATCAGGTGGAATCTACCTTTACAGGAAATAACTATAATTGATCACTATGAATTAGAAGCATACATCATTTCACATTAATCTGACTACAAATGATTTTTTTCTGCCAAAATGTATACTTTGTGAGATATTTCCCTATCAATGAACGATCCTTTTCAATGATAATATTTTACAATCCTTGCATTTGATATCATGCCTTTCACAGCAGGAGTACTTCTCAAAACAATTCACAGGATTTACAATCACATTTACAGGATTTATTGTAAATTTGGGATTTTAAGGTAAAACCTAACAAATAGTGCATAGTAGCATATTACTTAAAATTTACAAAATTAAAGAATTTGCCTCTTAGAAATGCCAATCATATTAATATTGGTACACTTGATAGTAGATAATTATGGTATTTCAAAAGCATAAAGCCTCAAAAGAACTTAAAGTTAATCATAAACTAGCTGTAACGTTTTCTGGGGTTGACTTCATGGACTCTCCTCATCTAGGTCAATGACATTGTGTTTAAACATCGGTGACCAGTGGGTTCTCATTGACACTGATAAAATCAAAACTTTCAGGTATGTGATACAGACAAGCAAAATCTTGATGCCTGACCAATCATTGGTTACAAAAGTTAGGTAGAGATTTTGTTCTATATTTCTAGCTTGAATGATTCATTGAATGACTTCTATGACTAATCATGTTTTTTTTTAAATTCAATGTATTCAAAAAAATGTGTCAATCTTCTTTTGCCTTTTACCCTCGTCTCCCACCCATTGTTTGCCAAAGTAAAGATTTGGTGTGGCATATGAACCAGCAGACCTGCTATGGCAACCAAGCTGTGCAACTGTATCATATTCTCATGAAAACGGTAACAAACGCATGGAATTAGCAAATATTTGTGACTTTAACTGAAACAAAATGAATAGGGGGGTACTATTAGAAGGAATTTTTCAAAGGAAAATATGTCAATAAACCTTTGTAGTATTGGACAGCAAGACATGGACTATGAATTTGACCGCCTTGGGAGATCATCTCCTAAGCAATAAAAGGCACTGGATGTGCAGTTTCAAAATAAGGGATGTTTCCTCTACGTACACTTGAGTTCCAGCAAGATCATTATTGAAGGACTGCTCATCAAAAGTACATGGATGGGCCACAGGTGTCAATGATCTTGGTGGTAGAATTACTCTAAATTTCCAACAAACACCCGCAATTCTATCTTATTCCTTGAAAAGATCTGGGAAAATAGAGATACCTGTTGTGTGTCATCCAGAACAGTTGGCATTATGATGAACAATCTTTTTGATATGGTCACTCCACTATGAATTTGATTATCCAATGCTAATACTGTGAATGGAACTATTTTCCTCTCTCTGATCACGGGCATAAAACTACTGGACTGATTTATGTCAGCTCTCAACATTCGTTCATACTTAGAACATGTTCCGTAGAAATGAAGCGCCATGGGTCACACTTCCTTTTATTTATTTCCCAACAACTTACACCTATATTATACCCATTTTTGCTTTTGTATAGAGCTAAATATTTATGTTAGTTATGACTAAAACAAATCACAGAATTGAATTTTGTGTATCCATAAAGGGATTTTTAAGATTGTGGTCAGTTAGGTCTGTAGAGAGAAACGAGCTACAGGTGGACTGGGGTAGATTGGGATTATAGTCTTCAGAACACAGGAGGTTAAGGGACGATTTGGTTGAGGTATTTAAATTAATGAAAGGGCCTGACAAGTTAGATAGTGGATGGCTCTTTGTTCTGGAAGAGGGATCCATCCATTACAAGGGACATTGCCTTAAAATAAGATGGTTATAATAAATAATAATAATAATCCTTGCATTTTGATAATAGCACTTTATCAAATCATCAAGATGTCTCAAAGTTATTATTTATTTATCGGATTTTACTGTGAAGTGTAGTGACTGCATATTTGTAGGTATATGCTGGAATTAAGGTCACAGGAAGCATTTGCTCACATTGAAGGCTGAGAAGAATAGGAATGCTCTGCTCCAGAAAGCTGTAGAGGCAGAATCAATCAGGCTGTTTAAAAGTTAGATACTTGGGTAGTAAAGAATATGATGAAAGGGCATTTGGATTAAAATATCTGCCAAGTTCTAACAAACTGGTGGAACAGTCTCAATGGGTATGTGGTCCCTCCTATACCTATTTTGACACAATTAAAGGTAGTTTCCTATAATCCATTTAAAAAATACTAATTCCACTCATGAATATCTTCAGACTTGCATGCAACTTTGTGATAAGTCATTTGAGAAATAAATTGGGTATTCTCCTATTTGCCATTGTACATCCTTTGTAATGCTTCATAATATAAAGAAATGATCAGTTCTGCCAGGACAGTTTCACAAATTTCAACAGGATTGTTAATTGGAACAATCTGAATTGGGTAAAAGGGTGAAGGAAAAGCAAAATAACAAATCTTGGCACACGGAACACATCTCCTGTTATCTGAAAACAGTACCATAGAAGTCTACAATCCAGAATCTGTGTGTTTCCTGGCTGAAGGCAATATGAAGTTGGAATGGGAATAGAAGGAGGCGGTAGTGAGTGAGAACTTCAAGATACAATCTGTCTTCAAGCTCTAGGGGGCCAAAAAATGTTTTCTAAACCAGTTCCAATTGATAATATTCTAATTTATTATCAGGATATTTAATATGCAGCTTGGTTTGTTTAGGATTTGTTTTAGTCATATTGTCTTAAAATAAAAACTAACGGCACACACATAATGATGGGTCTTCCAGTCTCTGTGATAATCTTTGACAACAATGCTAAGACTGTCATTCTGGCCACAAGAGAAACATGCATGTATAAGCCCTGACCCTCTGAGCCTTTTATCTGCATGTGTACTCTCCACAGGCCGAACAAATAAAGGGTAACTGATAATTTACACATGAATCAACTTTTTCTGAAGAGTAGGCACCAGAGACAGCCCTTTTCTCTGTAACTGAAAGAATGGCAGCCAGGTCTAAGATTGTCTCACCAGAAATCATACAAGTAAAACAGCAATACATTAGAAAATGGCAGATCAGCAAAGGGAGGCAGTTCGGAGAGACAGATAAAAATGACAGCCTCAAAGGACAGGATGAATGCAGACAGCATGGAGAGTTAGACCTACGTTCTACTATAACAATGAGATTTTCACCAATTCCAAAGAAAAAGACAGGTAGTGTTGTACACGTTTAAAATGCGATTGCAATAACAGGCTGCAAATGGTACTCTTGCATAGGATAGAAGCAGAGGCTCATGTATCCTGAAAATGAGAAATGTTAAGTGGAAATTGCTAGATAAAATAAGACACACCGCAGATCCAGTATCTTTCAAATGTTAATGTAATTTTACCATTTTTGTACTACAGAGATACTTAAGTGTTTATTATTGAAAATAAATTTGACTGAATACTGTTTCATGTTGCAGCATCTCATTAAATCACAGGTTGATAATGTTTCATTCAATCAGATTTTGCTGTAACACTGTGAATAATGATCCTCTTTGTCAATGTATGTTTTGGACACAGACAGACCAGTGCTCCAAGAGTTTCCTTGTAAACCATGTATCTCAAGCAACAAGCCTACTCTATTTTCAAGCATAAAAACAGGTTTAGTGTGAGTTTCCTGATATTTATTAGGACATGCCAAAAATCTCTTCTATTTAATAATCAAATCTAAAATGTAGATTTTTCTTCCCACAAAAAAGTTTAGAAATTCTGCAATTTCCTGGATACTGATCAATTTCAAAGTTGTAAAAATTAAGATGTTAGACAGCTCAAAAGGAAGTGCATTGTAGTTTGTGTCATAAAATATCTGATTATTTCATGAATAAGAGTGATCAATTAATTGGTTACTACTATTTCCTTGGTTAAGGCGACAAAATACTGCTGCTTTGTGAAGGTGATACAGGATTTGAGTGGTTATAGGTAATATGGGGGTTTAGTTAGAATACCTGTTAGATTAAGTGATAGAAGGTACACAATACAATTTACATTTATATATCACCTTTCATGCCAGGCCATCTTAAAGGATGTAGCTAATATAAAGCAGTTGTCAGATTAAGGCAATACAGTTACTAGTAACACTGTTGCTGGGTTAAGGTGATTTAAGGCAGTTTTGGTTTGAATGTAACTGAGTATATCTGGCATCTCTGCCAGAGGAATGTATAACAGTTTTACAATGGTACAATATATAGTTAGTGATAGCTACTGGGTTAAATGATAGCAAGACTATAATATATTGCATTTGATACAGCATCTTATCGCATAGTCGAGTTCATCACAGGATATTTTCTGTAGTGACTGTGAAAACAACAGCTAATTTGCTCAGAGCAATGTCCTGCGGTATTTGTATTTGTATGTATTTGTGAGCGGTTAGCCAGGACACTGGGAGAAACCTCCTTCTCTTTTTGAATAAAGCCGAGGATCATTATTTGTTGTTAATGCCCATCTGAACAAGCAGATGGGTACTTGGTTTAACATCTCATCTGAAGGATGGCGCCTATGAAAATGCAGCACTCCCCTCAGCACTGCATTGGTGTGTCAGTCTAGATGATGAGCCCTCACCCTTCTAGCTCAGAGGCAAATGCTACCCACTGAGTCAAACTATCACTCATCACTGCCAGGGTAAGATAATGGAGAGTAAAGCTGGTTTAATTCCAAGGTTAAGGTATCATGGGTTCAATGGTTAGGGCTAAAAGGCATCAATTGTATGAATAAAATTAACGCGGGCAAACAATATGTTGATCTCTAGAAGTAAGTGATTTTATCAATGGCAAAGCTACATGAAAATTAGAGCTCACACTATTTAGAAAGTTAATCTTCACAGGTAATGATTTTATCAGAGATAATCCTTTAAATAGACTGAAGTGACCTTATTATTTTTGCCTTTCAGTTATGCTGTTTCAGATGATTCTTGTGTCACCTACAATTGATCACGTAGCCATATGATGCAAAGACAGTGTATTCAAACCACACACATTTGGATTAAGATGTATTTAAAAACCGTTAGATATTAAAATAACAAAGTTGGTATTTAAAAACGTTAATTGTTCCTGCCAACAATAGCCTGAAAAATTCTGATGTTTTTTCTTTAATAAAGAGTGAACTATCTGACATGTGTTTACTTTTGTTATGTCAAGTGTTATTGAATACTTGTGTATGATTGTTTGCTTATCAGAAAATTTACTGACCAGAGAAAGGGATGTGGGAACAAGTACCTAATTTCTACCAGTCAATACATACATATATATATATATACATACTTATCTTGGAAAAATTAATGTATAAAGGAAATCCAATGTACTGACCAGCAGAGAATCACTTCTATAATTCGTATTGATCCATTGGATTTTATCTATCCATTGTAATGTTTCCTATAATTTTATACTATTTTATACTTCTAAATATTCAGTCGTAATCTGTCCTACATGGAAAGTATCCAAAGAATTGTTTCGGGACACCGTACAATATTCAAAAACATTTTCAGACAATAACCATATGACAAATATATTAACATAGTTTACACAATATCAAAAATGCGCTGGATCCGACCCCAAATCTTGAAATTGTAAGATGATTTACATAGAATCATAGCAATCTGACTCTAAACTCAACTACTGCCATTTTACTATAATAAACACTTGGTCAATCAGAATTTGAATCAAGGCTTGATACGCAGTGATTGATTCAGAAATACACCGTGTTTCCTGTATCAAAGTTCCATTGTGAAAGCACTCTAAATCTGCACCCAACATAACAACATCATCTCTGCCACAATGGAGCCCCAGAGAAGCTTTATGCATCATTTCTCTGATCAGAAAAATGCAACTGTTCTTTTCAAATAAACTGTATCAGTCTCAGTTACAATGTGACCTTAAAAATATATGATAATTTATTCATTGGTTTTCCCATCATCCCATAACAATTTACAAAATTCTGCACTGGGCACACGCAACTTCACACTGAAAATATCAAACACAAATACTATCTTATTACTAAGTTCTAAAATATGCTACTTAAAAAGTCAGAACGCTACGTACAATAAAATTTGCCAAGTTTAGATATCCAAAATGGGTCATGTTCTTGCAACCAAAGCAGCTCTGATGCTAAACACATATATTGTATAATTAACTTCAAGTTGCTTACAACTGATTTTTTTTTGCAAATGTATTTATAACAGTTCATGAGACTTTATTTTCCTTGTAGCTAGAACTATATCTGTTGATAAATGAATGAAGTAATAGTTATTCAGCTACTCTAAAAAAAATAATTTTCATGAACCATACAAGTGAAAATAAAAACATCAGCACCATGAACAGAGTAAAGGTATGAGCTTCATCCAGTTAAAATACAATGTAAGTAACTGTAACACATGTACTTAATGTGTAATCATTCAATTAACAGTGGAAAATGTAATATGTTCGTAAAACAAAAAAGCGTTTATCATTGCTGTAACAAATGTAAATGGATCCATGTACACCCAAAGCACCGGGATAGCAGACAGGCTAATGAGCTGACTGATAGAAAAGAGGAATTTAAAAATAATGACAATGTTCGCTATGCAACATTTTATGCTAAACTAGCATAGGGGAACCAAAGATGATTTTAAAAGAAAAAAAATCATATCAAATTCAAGGATAACTTCAAGCCTTGAATTGTTGAGCTTTCAAATAGATTGTCATCAAGTGAAGTAAAGAAAACATAGTTCAAAGATTATAATGAAAATTGGACAGATTTCTGAAGGGTTATAGAGATGCAAATTTGGGTTTGGAAAAAGGAGAAAAATGGTTTGAAAACAATCCTTTGCTGGATGGGTTGAATACCTTTATTAATCTTATGCTCAGTTAAAGGGAATTGGTAGTTTGGAGGAAAACTATTTCCAATCCACAATACTCCACCCATAAAGAATGTATAGTTTCTATTTTAATTTTCCCCTTCACAGAAGATTAATTTCCTCACCATTTCTCCCAAGCCATATACAGCACGCTACTCTTATTAGATTCAATGGCAGCACCATCTACACCAGCCCTGCACTTTCAGGACCAGGTTTAACTCAACCAACAGCTGGTGCTGAACTTTAATGTTATCCCTCCAGTGTTCAGGTCCAAGAAGAACATTGATGCATGCTCATTGTAAGTACAGGCTCTGTCATCAAGTTGCTGTATAATAATCTGTATTTTTCTGAAGGATTGTGAACAACCATGGAACTCTACCCAAATATCATATCAGTTTTATGAGTGGAGAGGCAAAAAAAACAATGGAAGAAAATGAGAAACAAATATTAGGATTAACCTTAAGTGCTGGCCAGTCAAAATGTAGAATGGTTCCCAAGAAGCTGCAGGACTAGGTTTTAAACTGAATCACTTTTTACTATGTTGCTGGAAATTTATATTGTGATATAGTTAATATGCACTTGTAATGCATAAGTTTGATTTGAACATCTTTTGTAAAAATATTTAACAGCTTCACAATAATGACAAATTTAAAGTTATAGATTTGATGCAGGTAACACAAATATAAGATTCTCTTCACAAAATCTGAGCAATTTAGATTGTATCAATAACACTAGACAGGGTTCGTTCACTAACTAAAGAATAACTGACTTTCTCAAACTAGTCCTATACCTGTATCTGAAGTTATGGTGAGCTTAGTTATTTGTTTAGTTAAGTGGATGAGTGGAGTTAACGGGAAAATCCAAGTAGTTCTGCTGTATGGTTGAGGAATTGAGTGAAGATCAGTACGGTTACTCTCCCACCAACATCCCATTGTAAGTGTGCGTATACCGCTAAAACAAGCAAATCTATTGACAAGTGGAGAATAATACACATAAGTTCAATAACTTTAATAATCTTTTCAATTCTTTTATATCTACACTTTTATTCATTAACATCACATGCTGACAATTCCCATTTTTACTATTTATGGGTCAGGATATATTCGAATGTCCTCTAGATTTTACTTCAATTTTAGGATAGAATTTTGTTTGAATGGGAAAGTCAATCCTGAAACTCACAAATCGATGCTGAAAATGACTTTGGAAGAGACTGAGGAGTGCACAACAAGAGAATTTGGTCCTTATATTTGTAGACGTACATTTCTACAAATAAAACTGCATCCATTCGTATTTATACCCAATATTAATTCTTCTCTATAAATATTCAATAATTTATAGAGAAGAATTAATATCTGGGAGGTATTATAGGGTGAGAGCAGTTTACACTGCAACTGTTTATAGGCTTCTTCATTAATTTGTTATATTCAAATCAATAAGGCTATCTATTAATGTTTATAGCACATACTGTTTTGTCAAATGGGCTGCTTTATTTTATTTCTTTTACAACAGTAAGCAAACTCAGACAACTGAGAATTTGTATTTGATAATGTAACGATTTTGATGTATTGGTAAGTAATTAGCAGTTGATTGAGAAATTCAGTGGTACGTAATTATGATCATCTAGTTACAACTAAGTTGGTGACTTAGCAGTTTCCTTAACAGCGTGATTTGTGTTACTTGTAAAACAGCAAAATCTTGTTGAATAAAGTAGTATACTTAATATTCTGTGATGTGCTTTCATCTTTTTTTTCTTTATTTCACATGAAAAAGAAAGCTAACTTTTTCTGTCATGCAGTGTGCACAATTTCAAACTTGACTGCGTTCAAAACTACTCGTGGAAAACTGAAGCACTTCCTCTAAAAGAAACAAATTGTCCACAATCAAATCTCATTCAGACTTCAAAAACTTAAGCAAAGTAAAATACTGAAGTAATATTCACTGAACATAACAGCCTGAAACAACAGTCAGTCTCCTATTTAAATATGAATCATATTTTTTTTAAAAATTCAAAACATTGCCTTGTTTCCTATTTAGGATACTGTAATTATTCTTAAACAGTTTAGTTTACATCTCACTGGGGAGTGAGTTCCTTTGAATAGACACGACATATGAACGCAAATTTCAGAACATCAAAAGCATGGAAGGAGAAAGGCCATTTGGTCCAATAAATCTCCTCATTCTGCAACCTAACTACAATTTGTCCAATCATGGATTTTATCCCAATCTGAAATGAGGCAAACATTTACAAAAAAGCCCTGATAATTGATACAAAATTGTAGAAAAGTCTTTAAACTCCATAATTCAATCATGGTCAGTTGTTATTCAAGTATGATATTTCAAGTGTGCTCTGTTGCTCATTAAAATAGTTTTTGCATATTTGTTGGCCTCTGGAGTCAATTTACTTTAAGGAAGGAAGTCAAAGCGATAAAAGGTATGTTTTTCCAAATATCTGAAAACCATAATTATGGTATACAGATCCTTTTTTAAACAAAGGAACTACATAGACTGAACCAAAGGATCTGTTTCCAATCTGTACTAGATTTGTATATATCCTGGTATTTCTCACCCTTCCTGTAGCAACAGATTAACAATAGATGTAACAAAACACTGATGTTTTGGGGTTGAGCCTCCTTTGCTTCCTACCAGAACTGAAGTGTCATAGTTATAAAAGGTGAAAAATACAAAGGAACATGTCTGGTTCAAAAATAATCAATAATAAACAATAAACATTCCTTTTGTTCTTTAAATACTTATATATTCAACAGACCCAATGCCCTTTATTACATTCAATACTTTTGATTACAAATACTAATTCAGCTTTCCTTTGAACCTTCAAGTTGTTTTTTAAGCTAAGGCTGATCACAGAACATGACAGTAATACTGTAATAAGACCATCACCTTTTGTAAAGCATTTCCTAGCAACCAGTAAGTGCAGTAAGTGCAGTTCACTCAGCTAATGTACATCATACTTTCTGCACAAAATCTCCCATCAGAAATGAATCAAATGATGCCTGGTACCCACCATTCCGATTTTAGTAATGTTCCTTTTATCTTTGGGGCTACAGGCAAGTTACAAAAATGTTCATCCAAGTAAAAATAAAAATGCAGCTTCTCTCACACCAAAGGGCTGGGTTTCTTTGAGTATGCAGAGAACAATGGGTCTTTCAGTGAA